ACTCACCTCGGAAGGATGGAAGGCTTAGTCGACCCTGAGCCGGTGAGATTTGAACAGCCGAACTGCAGAACTGCAGTCAGCTGAAAAGTAGCCTGCAGTGCTGCATTTAACCACTGCGCCACCTCGGCTCTTATCGTTCTGGCTAACTGGGAGCCGAAGATGCTCTCTTGGTTTCAGGCAAGAGCCAGGCCTTCGGCATGCAAGATGAGTTCTTTGCCCCCAGCACTTCAGCAAGAATGACCCTTGCGGGGGGGGGGAAGAGTGGGAGTCCAAGGCCCTCCAAGAAATAGCCTCCACTTGGCAGTTGGAGCTCTGCTTCCCAGCTCTCTGGGGTAAGGAGAAGAAGGAGAGAAGCATTTGCAGGCTGAGCATCCTGCCAGCCAGGATGAAGGAGGCCCATTGGTGTGTGTGTGTGTGAGTCTGTGTGTGTGTAGCTAACAGGGAAGCCCATTATCTCTTCTTCCACTCTCCCAGAGACAGGGATAGATGAAGGAACCTGCCTTGCTGGTTTTTGGGGGGCTCTTTTCAAAAGCCACTCCCCCAGACCAGACTCTATTCCTGGGGGAAGAATCCTGAACTGCTCCTAGCTGACTTGATTTATGCTGCTCCATCATTCAGTGCAAAGGTTATTGGTGGGTGGGGAGCGTAGCAGGGAATGTGATTCCTGGTAAGTGATGGGTGCTTCCACCCTTCCTTTTCCACTCTGCAAGAAAGGGGAGGGGGAGTCTGATCTAATGGAGCGACCCCAGAGCTGGCTGGGGGATGCTTCGTCCTTATAATGAATTCTCGCCTGGTTGAGGGAGGAAACCCACCGCCACTCATGTGTTAAGCCTTGCTTAGCAAATGCCCTTCATTCTGCATTGCCTCGGATGTGTTCTTGTTCCAACACACCACCAACCACCACTTTGCACGGAAGGGAGCCTGCAGAAGGGGTCTTAAAAGGTGTCTCCCACTTCCACCACCTCTGTCTCCCTGCTCCAGAATTATCTCTCCCTGGTGGCTTTTTTCTCTGGGTCACGGAAATCTGGCGGCCCCACCTTGGTTAGTAAAAGAGTGCAGCCGAGGGGTCAGGTTTTGCTCCCGATACCTATGGCTGCTTGAGCTGCCCACATTCCAAGGGGTGGCAGTGGGGGAAAAAATCACAGGGTCCGCAAGGAAGGCCTTAAAGGGGAGACCAAGGTGTGGGAAAACTACCCCCCGAGCTGTCCCACCTCTTGCAGAATCTTCCGGGCGTGGCTGCCCAGATTGCCCCGCGGCCTTGGACACGTGGAGAATTGTTTCAAGGAGCACTTAAGTCTGGAGAGGGAGGAAAAAAGTCCATTTTGAGTTCATTCACCTTAGGAGCCATTTAGGGGATGGAAAGAATGCTTTCGTCATCCGTTATCGGGGAAAGTAGCTTTTATTGGTTTGCAAAGGTTAATGGCGGCAATGCATTAATCAAAAGGGGTTTCCCTCCCCCTCCCCGCTAAACTTTTCTCCAAGTTTTGCTTGCGCAAGCTGTGGAAGCGTAAATTCACTGAACACCCAGCTGTTCTGAAGGCAGCTCAGGTGTGCTCCCCACTCCCACTCCCCAGAACAAGGCAGGAGAAACAGTTTCCATCCAAAGCCCCACTCGTCTTTTCCTGCAAGGAACAGAGCATCGCCCACAGCTGAGCTTGCTCCTTTTTCCCAAGGATGCTGACTCTTCATCGCTGGCACGACGGGGAGAAAATAAAAAGTAACACTGCTGAGTTTTCTTTTTTTTGTAATGGGACATTACCATTGTCGTGACTTACAACTGTTACACAAAGCAGTACATCCCCCCCCCTCCCTTCAATTCATGGGAAAAGACTTCCCTGCGTATAGAACGCCTCCTAGCTCCAGAGTGCCACCCTGGGACCTCCCAATGCTTCTCCCATCATTGGCCCCATCCAATTTTGAAGCATTGCAAGGAGTGGCAACCTGGGGATGGCCTAGTCTTC